ATACGAAATGTGTGGTTTTGCAGTGGAGAGAGCAAATTGTTTGGAAATATTACCTAGGGATTGTTTATTAATATAATTCAGGGCATTCACAGCCTCTGTTATTGTTCCATGTCACTGTGGTTTTCCGCAGTGTCGGCAAGTCTGGTTGTTGTTAATATTTTCTGGAAAATACAGGATATCTGCTTCTACTTCAGGAAGGAAACGGAATTTTGGACTTAAAAGAAAGCTGCTAGAGTATTTTTGTGTGTGTGTGTGTGTGTGCACACACGTAGGCCATATTTATATTAACCGTGTGTTGCAAATAATCTTAGCACATGTCTATGAAATGCCAGTAGTTTCTCCATATATATTTTGAATGGTACTTAATTCCGAATATGCTTTTGTACAGTGCTTAATGTGTATGTGAGTGCGCGCGCGCATGCCCCTGTGTGTGTCTGTGTGCACCTTAGAGTCAGTTTTTGACTCCTGGTGACTGCCTGGTTTAGTCCCCGCAATTTACTCAACAAAGGTTCTTGAAGTGGCTTGAAATGTCTTTTTTCCTAGGGTTATGAGAGAGTGTCTGGCCGAAGGTCACTCAGTTGGCTTTGTGCTTAAGGCCAAATGCCCTAACCTCTACACCAAACTGGTTCTCTGTAACAAATGTAGCAAACACACATTTGTTGAACTTTTTTTGTTACAGCTTTTGATGGGGGGGGAGGGAGGTGTTCTGGGGAGAATCTGAATGGTACCCCGACCACTTATCTCAGTTTCTTCTTCCATGCTTCCTATCCAAATGCTAATAGCGGTTTAAAGTGTCCCCTTAGTATCCATCTGTGTCCTAAATTTCACAGAAGCTAAGGATGTTTTATAAGCCAAAAACCCTTAAATGATATCATTTTTAGGAAACTTTATAATAGGCTTTACATACCTATGGCAATTATTTCCACTGAGAGCAACGGGGACGTTAGTAATTATCTGTCTTTTTGATTAACTTTAAGAAAACGAATGCAGGCATTTTTTCTCTCTGATACTTTTCTTCTCTCTTCTTTAGGGTTGCTGTCTCATTACAGGCTCGGGTTCCTATTATGATACTTTATTTGTATAATTTAGCCTAATATTTCTCAAACTTTCTCTGCTCATGCATGACTATTTTTTTTAAAAAAAAATGGAGTATCCACTTAAACTAATACTCATTTTCTACATTTTCAGCTTTAAAAGTATGGGGGTTCACACTTTTTTCCAAGTAAGATAATGATTATGATTGCATTAGTACCAGCATTCCATTCCCTTTCATTTTTAAAGGACTTTAAATCCAAGTGTTCTATTTGGAACAAGTATTTATTTACCACTAGAATTATTTGATGCAGTAATAATCTTAGCACGCTAACGTGACTTAGCATAAACTTGCTGGCCAAGAACATTCCTGAGTAGCAATTACTAAATACAGAGGATTAAAATGAAATTGATCTCCAACCCAGTGAAATCCCATTTTTAAATATTAGTTGTTTCATTTCCCAGTTGTAGTTTTTCTTTTTGGATTGCTGATATGAAAAAATACTTCCTTAGTACAGCACCTATGAAGTTACTGCTCTTAACACCAATTCACTAATGCAGCTTTCTGAATATTAGTACTTGTGTTGCCATACATATTCTTACTTGTATGCTTCAGTTGATAGGCTTTTTTTTAGCCCTTGGTGGATTCTTGTGAACCAGATGACTGTTGGGGCATGTAGGGAGCCAGGAACTGAGCTAGGGAAGAGATTGTCACCAGCTTATTGTTGGCATTCATGTGGAAGTGGGTTTAAGGCAAGGAGCAAGTTCTTACCAGCTAGCTGCCAACACTTACAAGGAGGTGGGGCTGAAATGGTAAGTGGGCTTTAGTCTGTGAACATTCAGGGAGTATGGCAGATGTCCTAATGCAAAGGTCTTAAAATTTGACCCTTTTGTGATTTGTGGACTTCAACTCCCAGAATTCCTCAGCCAAGCATGCCTGGCTGAAGAATTCTGGGAGTCGAAGTCCACAAGTCATCAAAGGGCCAAGTTTTAAGACCCCTGTCCTAATGGATCTCCACAGATCAAGCTTGGAAAATCCGTGGTGTCAACTGGGAGCTTTCCAAGGTCCTGATTTCTTCTTCTTTTTTTTTAAACAAATTTTTATTAATTTTTTAAAATAAACAGAAATACAATTATGGCATACAATAATAATAATAATAATAAAAAAAAAAAAAAAACAAACTAATAAACCTCCTATTACATTATGTCTCACTACCATTCTAGTATACCAAAATACATAAAAAATCCCTTTCCCCCCATCCCACCCCCGGACTTCCCAGAACTAAATACAGGAGTAAATAAACATCTAACTAAAACAATCCAATTATGATACATACCAATATTAATTTATTTTAACTCCAAAACTCAAAATGTAATTATCCATCTTCCCCAGATCCAAGTGTCTAAAAATTAAACTTTACCATTTCTACAAAAATAGAAAGTTAGCTACTAATCTTACTACTATTAATCATCCAAATATCTTAAAACCCATTAAAAACCATCTTTCACTTCCTCTAAAACAATATAAATCCTTTAAAATAATACAATTATATATCATTAATCATTTAAACTCTTTTTAAATCTCAAATACATATCTTTTAATCTTACTGCTATTAATCATCCAAGTATCTTAAAACCCATTAAAAACCTTCTTTAAATTCCTCTAAGACAATATAAGTCCTTTAGAATAATACAATTATATATCATTAATCATTTAAAGTCTTTTGGATCTCAAATACATATCTTTTAAGTGAAATTTTCTTTCTTTTTTACAACAAATTTTAATAATATAACCATCTACTCTCTTCTTTATCAAATACTTCAATCCTTTAAATTTAAATCTTATTAATTCAAATAATATATATCCAAAAAATCAGTTCCAAATCAAAAAATTTAAAAAATATAAAACTTTCAAAACGTTCATATAAGATTATCATCAAGAGATTCTTCCATAGTCGCTCCTTGCTTCCAATCTCTTTTTTTTTTCATTGCTGATCAACCTTCAAAGCCAGTGAATCTTCCGTTCTGAAAACACAAGCAGCAACATCTCCAGCTAGTTTTCTCTGACGCACGACCCATTTCTATAAGCTTTTTTTTTCAAAATTTCATCAGGGAAGTACACCAGGACCATAACCGGATCTATTACAGCTTCCTTTTCCAGCCATTATAGCAAAATCTTCTAAAAACACAAGCAGCAACATCTCCAGCTGGTTTTCTCTGACGCACGACCCATTTCTATAAGCTTTTTTTCCAAAATTTCATCAGGGAAGTACACCAGGACCATAACCGGATCTATTACAGCTTCCTTTCCCAGCTTTTCATGCTTATCATTTTCATGATCTCTGCCATATAACATATCATTGTAAATTCTTTCCATAATATCTTCTTCAACATCACATAACTTATCCACCCGTTGCTCTGTACAATCTGGAACTATAAAACACATTTAGCCAGCAATAAAGAAGCATGAATTTTTCTTTCTTTCTTTCTTTCACAATTCCGCAGCCATTTTAAAGCCATTCTTCAAACTTCTTTGAAAAACACTTCAGTAGTCCATAAGAATCCATAAAAATAATAAGTATCACCAATAAATAGACATTGCAAATTCTTTTACTAAAACTTTCCAAAGACCAAAAAGAGCCACAATGTATCTCTATCCAGTTAGTAACCAGAAGAGAGTGAAAGTAAAAAGCGTAAGTTTTTTATCAGCTCCAAAGAAACAGCAACTGATTTCTGATGAAAGAGATTTTTTTTAGAATTAATTATTTTATATGCAAAAGGCAAAAAAACCCCACCCTTCACCAAGCTCTCCTATTTTAAACTATACTTATAAGCACATGTTTATTACATTTATACTATTAAATTATTAATATTTAAGTCAGTTTATTAATAAGTTAGGGAGAATGGGGAATTAAATGTGTATTGTGTCCATTCTTTTTTTGCTTACACTTATTTTGCCAAACTAAAGCTATAACCTACTAATCTACTGATATATCTTGAGAGATTCTAGGGCGGTAGCCCCCAACTTTTTGAGCGCCAGGGCATCGGTTCTGTCATGATTTTTTTTGCAGACCAGAGGGGGGCGTGGTTTCGTACACCACCTGCATCCCATGCATGCTCGGATGGGACTGTGTTCTTTTGGGTGACCCAGTTTCTGGTGTGCCAGTTTCTGGAGTCGGTCCATGGCCCGGGGTGTGGGGACTCCTGTTCTAGGGTATGTCTGTCCTGAACCTCTTTCCCTCAGTGTTCCCCCATCCAACCCAGAACTGTAAGCTCTCTTAATCTGGGATTCTCTGGGAAAGCTCTCTGTTGCCAACCTTCCCCCCCACTGCTTCTCCAAATTTGCATTCCAGATTATGACAAGAAGATTTTTAAAAAGTAATACAGATAGTCCTTGCTTAATTATGCTATTAGAACCAGAAACATCATCATTAAGTGACACAGTCATAAGTAAACAGAAACACACGATCACTCCATATAGAAATGGCAGTTCCAGCAGACCCAGTGGCCATTGTTAAGCAAGGACTGCATATGTCCTCAAGTGTGGACTTCACACGTTTGCGAACTGTGACTTGCTGCCAGCTTCCCCGTTGAGTTGCTTGTTGGAAGCCAGCAGGGAAGGTTACAAATCACAATCACATGGGATGTAGCAATAATCACAACGATTGGTCATAAGAACCACTTATTCAGCACCATCGTTAGTTCAAATGATAATAATAATAATAATAATGATGATGATGATGATGATGATGATGATGATGATGATGATGATGATGATGATGTTGGAAGGGACCTTGGAGGTCATCGAGTCCAACCCTCTGCTCAGGCAGGAACTCTACTGTACACCATTTCAGACAAATGGCTGTCCAGTCTCTTCTTAAAAACTTCCAAGAACCACCTGCAATTTACCTGGCATTTTAAAAATAAGAACTTACAATATCTTTCTCTTTCTTCTCTTCGAATCACAGGTGTCCCTGGTGCCATGCCAAATGCCACATGGGAAGGTAACTTGAGAGCTGTGAAATGGAGTGACGCAGACAAGAATCATGGAGGATGCCATGGTAAAATGAATATCATTTTAATATTTGTGTTTTTTAATATTTGAAAGATTAACATTGCCCTAAAATTTAGTCTCTCATGAACCTGTTCTGGCACTATTTTTCTTCTGTTTACTATGGAGATTAAAGGGATTTGTAGAAAAACATACTGTACATTGATTGAAACACGCAGAGCATGAACCCAGAAATGCAAAGTGTTTGGAGATGGAGACCAACAGATTTAGCAACCTTGACAAGACAAAGTGGCTGTGGGATTTTGGCTCTCCTGGTATCAGAGATCTGCCATTTTGAGTTCTGCATGTGTTTGTACTTCCCCAGACAAAACCAATGCATAATATGGGAGGGGTCTTCCTAGGTTATCAGCTTCTGCTTAAAGAGCATAGAATAGTTATGGCCAAGAGACCTTTGCCCAGATTCATTTGATTTCTCAATTGCAGCCTTCCTACAATTGCTCATGCCTTACACATTTTACGTTTGGACTATTGAAAAACAGGCTTTGTGGGGCTGCCATTGAAGGCCAATTTGTGGGCAATTATGGGCATGCCTCAGTAAATACATGTGACTCCTTTGCTGTGCAAGGTGCATTTGGTACTGGTGAACTTCTGGGTACAATTTAAGATACTGATAATGCCCTAACATCATCTTCATAGCATAGGGCCTGGTTACCTGGGGAACATCTTCCCCCAATAAATCATTTTGCCCTGTAATTTCTGACAGAATAGGCATGCTCTGACTCTGTCTTTGACACATCATCATCTAATAGGTCTCAGGAAGCATCTCTTTTCTGGCCTAGCACCTCCCTTTGGGACTAATATTTCTCCAGAACTTCAAATTGTCCCAACCCCATGATCCTTGAAAGTCATTCATGAAGAACTGGCTCTTCTTCTACACCCTGGGAGGAGCTGTTGCTTTTATTGAAAGTTTTTCATGATCACTTCTTGTTCTTTTTAGTTTCCATTACTTTTTGTTTTGGTTTGGCCATCTAAATGGGTTTTAATGTTAAACTCCCGAGACTTCATCAACCTGGGTGAGTCTTTAAATTCGACAAAATAAATAAATAATAACTAGGTTAATTTACCAAAAGAACCCCACCCACTTCTATTCCCCTGGTATTTTGTATACGTGTGACGTGTGTTAAGGTTTCTACAAATAATTCTGTGTTTAGCTGTCAGCACCCTGTTTTCCAAATATATCATGGACTTTAAAATTGCGTAATTGGCAGTTTTAAATTTGTAATCACAACAGTTTAGAAAACTCTCAAATACATATTCAAAGCAGCAGAACAGGGGTGACGAGAATGACAGGATTATAGCGTATTGTTCGACTTCTTTAAGTTGCAGAAATTTCAAGCAGTTAGGAAAGAAAAAAGACAAGAGTTGTCCCATGGCAAGTTGGCCATGGTGAATTGTCCGGCAGTGAGTTGGCTGTGGCAACTTGTCATAGACCCACTAGCACAGTGATGGCGGACCTTTTAGAGACCCAGTGCCCAAATTGCAACCCAAACACTGTTTATCACCGGCTGCCAGGTGGCCGGGGCCGCAGTGATCGTGGCAGACTGGGTGGGTGGGCCCAGGGTGGTGGGGGCCAGTCCCTCGCCATCTCCGGAGCACGGCACGCGTGCCCACAGAGAGGGTTCTGAGTGCCGCCTCTGGCACGTGTGCCATAGGTTCGCCACCACTGCACTAGCAAATGCCAAGACAGCCTTTTTCATTCAGAATCTTATTATGAATGAAAAAGTTCTGGATATGCATGGAAAGGAACGCTTCTCTCTTGGAGATGTGCCCACCTTGGTTTTTGGCATGGCATCAGCCTTGACTCCAGGGCCAGAGTGGTTTTTGTTATGCAGGAAATTCTTGCGGCTCTCAGAAGCATGGAGAATATGAGCGGCGAGAACCTGTTTGTGAGGCTCAGATGGGATTGCTGATGCCATGCCTGCCTCCTTCCTGTGCAACTGCTTTCCTGGTCCTGTGATGGGAGTGGGTAACGGGGGTTGCCAGACTTGTGGGTGCAAGAGAACTTCAGTCTTGCATATCTGAGGTTGGAGTCTGACTATAGACCGGATGCAAATCACTGCAGCTTCAACATACAATAGTAGGAGTCATATATTAAATCTGAGTTTTATCCTGGGGCAATGGCAGTTTGATCTGTTTAGAGCAGGCATGTTAGAGGCATAACATCTGTCTCTTGTAATGGTCAGGCCACTCTTGGATTGCTTCAGGTTTCTCTGGTGCTCCTTCACATCACAGGGAGAGCAGTTGTCAAGTCTGCTAACATTGGATGTTCTTGCTTGCCATATGTGAAGAAGCAAACATGTTTTATTTAGCCTACATATCACTTCTAGAGTTAAAGCAGACAATACTAGCCTAATAGGTGGGAAAGTATGCCAGCTAATCATAACAATATCTCAGCATAGCACAGCCAAGGTCAGCGTAACAGGAGAAATAGGGAGGGAGCAATTCACACTTCAAACTAATTGGAGCATATGATTGATGACTGTAAAATGAAGGAGTGAGTTATGCGTTGTTACGGGTGCTCATGGGGTGGGAGGTTCAGTTTTTGGCTTTTTATTGTTCGTGCCGAAGCTATGTAGCCAAATAAAGGATTCTTTAAGGTAAATAAGCCTCAAAGTTCTTTGAAAAGCTACTTCTTTTTGGAACCATGTCAGCAGTCTTATGTGATTGGTTCGTCCCAGGTGTTTACAGGAATGGACCCTGAGGAATTCTCTGAGGGCTCCGGCTCCACAATTTGCCTGAGGCCTTACTCACCACTTGAAATGAGAGGTGAAGATGGCCTTCATTTGCATCACACTTCTGTAATCTCTCCTTGTGTATGGATCTTGGGGAGTTTGCAGAAGAGTGATGAAAGAAGAGAAGAGATTTCTGAAGTGCCCCTAAAGAAAGACAAGGAGCAACTCTGTGCAAAAGCCTACTTAATATTGATACAAAAGTCTATAATAAATAGCTACATCATGAGAAGGACCCCTCTCTCTCTCTTTGAATTTCGGTAGACCCCCCCAACCCTGCTGGCTTTTAAGAAGGCCCTAAAAACCTGCTCTTCCCCCCTCCCCACCCACCTACCAGTCCAGGACACTGTTACAAGCCCGTGAGTTAGGCCTCTGGCTTCCAGTATAGTATTTTTATTTTATAATTTCCCTTTGTATTTGATGCTTTTAACCCGTGCTGCCTCCAATGACATAACGCCAAAATTTGTTATAAAACAAAACTTAAGTTTTTTATTTATTTAATTATTAAATGCATTTATTTTATATGACCACCCAGCTCACTAAAACGCGACTCTGGGAGGTGTACAATCAATAGCTAAAACAATACCACAACTGTTAAAAGACTTCAAAATAAATAAAAACAAGATACATAGAATAAATAAAAATAGGATTGTAGGAGAGTGTCCATCTAAACACAGTGCAACCATCAAGCAGGTTCCCCGTCGGATCCCCAAAATTGCTAGAAGAACCGTATTTTCAGGGCCTTCTGAAAGGCTAAAAGGGATAAGGCTAACCTCATCCGTGGGGGTGGGTGGGAAAATGATGCTCCAGATAGCAGAAGCCACAGGAACACTATCTGGCTTCTATCAGATGTAACTCTTTAGCAGATGGGACCCATAACCTATTCCTCCTGCTGGACCTAACAGGATGGGTAGATAAGCAGTCCCTCAAATAACCTGGACCCATGTCATGTAGGGCTTTAAAGGTCAAAATTCTTTCTAGTATATAATCAGAATAATCTTTAAAATGTGTCTGTGTTTGAATAAAGTTTAAAAACTGCCGATAGACATGGCTTAAGTAGCTCATGTAATCTTTCCGTTAGTTAGTGAAAAACAGGAAAACCACATTGTCTTTTGTAGCTATAATGTGCCTATTCTTCTATACACACCTGCTTGGAGCGGAAACTTTTTCTTTAGTCTGTATTTTTTATTGCTTGACTATAAATCACAAGTATAATTTCAGAGCAAGTGCTGCTTGCTGGAACTCATTCTGTCTGTCTCAAGGACAAGGAGTAGCCCTTTAGTTTGCTAACTTGTAAGTGAAAATACTATGTTGTACTTAGCAGCGTTGAACTCTTCCTTCAGCCTCTTGAGTCAGTTTTTGGTTTCAACAAAACCTTATTAGCCACCCACAATTACCTGGTAAGTGCACAGTAATATAAATTGAACAAACAAATAATTAAAGCATGTAACCTAATAAAAATTGAATATCCAGAGCCCACATGCTCCAAAACTACTTTTTGATCCTGATCCTGAATAAGGAGAACAGGATGTGATATTCTATGCCAGTGGTTCTCAACCTTTTTAATGCCGCGACCCCAACCGGTTATAAGTCGAGGACTAAACCGGTCGTAAGTCGAGGACTAAACCAGTCGTAAGTCGAGGACTACCCAACCGGTCGTAAGTCGAGGACTTTCCCTGCCCGGGAGCACCGCACATGTGTGGTTCCGCCCCCTGCACCGGCCAAGGCGTAGCTGGCAAGCGGCAGAGACGGAGCAGGCCGACCACCAGCTGGCCCAGCCCAAGGGAGGTAAGGCACCCGCCGGAAAAGGGGAAAAAAATGGCGGACAAAAAAATGCGGACAAAAAAAATGGCGGACAGCCTTGCTTGGCGACCCCCGTGAAATGGTTGATCGACCCCAAATGGGGTCCCGACCCACAGGTTGAGAACCACTGTTCTATGCCTCTGTTTTACTTCAAGTGTTATTAAAATTGCAAAATCTTCCTTATTTCAGTAGGCTTAGACTGCAAAGACCTTAGAGCAAGTATGCATCTTGATTCTTCTGTCCACAAAATGTTATTGTAATATTGCTATTTTATGCCTTGACAGGTCATTATGTCAGAAGCATATGTATCTATGGAACTGGTGACTTGCCATGGCTGCTGAAATCCCGAAACCTATTTGCTAACAAATTTGAACTCAAAACATATCCACCTACTGTAGAATGCCTGGAATTGAAACTTCGGGAAAGAGCACTGAATGAGAGCGAAATACCAGTTGAACCAAGCTGGTACTTTTAATTTTAAAAAAATAAACACTTATTGGGGAAGAAGGATAATAATAAAAACTGCTCCTTTTAGAACAACTGTTTTTGCCTTGACGTGAGGTATTTTTTGGGGGGATGTTCAATATGGATCATCTTTTTTTAATACGTGAAAAATCTTTGCATTTTAACTGACCTAAGGATTCTGCACCATCTCTGTATTTCATTGAATTTTATTCCAATTTTTTAAAAGGTGGTTCTCATTTCGGAACAGGATTCTCCTTGTCTTCCAATTGCATAGATGACTGTTCGCTAACACCCTCAGGAAATAAAATAAAAAATTCTGAATAATTAGGTTAAAGAGTGAATTCGGATTATCTTACTAATTGATGGTCCAAATGGAAGGATTAAGACTTTAATCACTGAAGATTCAGAGATGGATCTTCTAGCTCAGCTTGCTATTTGCACACAACCTGAGTTTGCTTCTACCTGTACTTTACTATTACTACTTGTTTCTGAATAGGTCAAATTCTTAGACTCTTACATTATCTGCTAAACTTGGAGAAATGACCTTCTATACTGTACTACTATAGACTTATCCTCTTTAACAACAGAGCAGCCAAGCAGCCAATGAACCAGGATAGGACAGATGATCTGAAAGACAGACCAAGAATGTACTGTATATAGAAGAGTAAAACATTCATTGGAAAAATGCATTAATATTAGATCAATAGTATGTTTCCACTTTTATCAAGTTTTGCTTGGCCACTTAATGAGCCCAGAAATGATGTAAAGAAGAGCTTCTAGAATGTACAGAAATAATTTTAGATGGACCAACATTTTTTGATTTAGGAGGCTATCACTATCTTCAAAGCAGAAGTGCCATCATTATCTTTTATACCATCTGCTAATCTGAAAGTCATTTTCATTATTCTTTAGATAACATTTCTGCACAGAATTTTAATTTCCATCCCATCTACTATGGAAAATGTAAAGAAAGAAATAGCAATGTATGCTAAACGTTTTAGGGTGGAAAAAGAAAAAAAAACCACTCAAAAATCAACACAGGAAAAAAAATCTTTGTATTTTAGACTGAATGTTGCAATTCTATCATGAAATACTATAAAAGATATTTATGGCAATCAGTATACTAATAAAATACCTATCTTTGCAGAAGTCCTTTAACCATTATATAATTTCATTGTCACTATTTCTATTAAAAACTAGCTGTACCCGGCCACGCGTTGCTGTGGCTCAGTCTGGTAAAAGCGTGTGTTGCTTTTACGTCCAACAGATGGCGCTGTTTTTCAAAAAAAGCATGTTTTTACCTGTCACAGGTGTGACATCTATATAATATAGGTATATAAAAACATGCACATATTCGAATGCAACGTTGTGTCAAAAGTTCAAAGCAATCGGTGAAGAACTTTCGGAGATTTAAGATTTTGAACAAACAAACATTTACATTTTTATTTATATAGATATTGCCTGTGTTGTCCCCATTATTCTTTCTTAGTTATTTTACTTTTAAGTGAAATGGAATTATTTGTTCCCATAAAGACATGGATTTGCCAAAATTCACTGATTGAAGATTATTGACTGTGATTCTTTTTTTAAAATAACATTCAGTTGGTTAAATTAATAAAATAGTATTTATCAAACACTGTACAGACATTGCCTTTATTACAGATCCTTACCATATAGAGCAATGAGGTTACAGATAATCATAATTATTATGGCTGTGTATGCTTCAAAAATGAGCCAGGAGAAATGCTTTGGATCTCACACAACTACAGCCTCCTCTGTCATTTATTAAAACAGCACAGCTTTTTGCCCAAGCAAAAATAATCAGCCTCCTTATAACAGTAGATTTTTTTTTCAGGTTCTCTATTCTAAGCAGCTGCCAGGGCCACTGCAGGAGCATATAACAGATCAGCAGGTATTTTCCTCAAGCACTCTTTGAAACCCAATTGGGTCCATCAGTTGCCAGGGGTGGACCAATCGAATTGGTCTGGTCTCTCTGCGGAGGAGGGTGGTAGCACAAGAGAACCTCAAAGTCACCAGATGTGATCTGACCATGACAGGGAAGCTAAACAAAACATCTCTGTCCACTCACATTGCCACTGCTCCAACAAGAACGCCAAGCCCAAAGTTAGGCCACTGACCCGAGTCAGGCCAAGAGTGACCAGGCCATGGCCATCATAGAGCCACTTTGGAGGTCTACCCAGGGATGGAAGTTGAAGTCCCCCAGAAGCGTAAATCTGGGGAATTTCATAGTCAGCCCCAAGATGGCTCCAGCAACTCAGGCAGAGAAGCTGTATGCAACAGGGAGGCTGGTGCAGTAGCAATAATCTCAACTGCTCCCTCAAGAACAGGGTCTCACAACTGGCAATTTGTGCAGCATTGCCCCCCGATGGCTACCAGAGATTCCCAGATGAATCACTACCCCTCTCCCTGCCCTGGGGACTTGGCTGGTGCCAATATTGCTGACAGGACATCACCCTTACTCTCCCAGGCCTAGCCAAGTCTTGATGATACATGCCAAGTCAGCCTGCTCCTCTTTGATGAGATCACTAATGAGGATCCTTGTTATTGATCAATTTGGAATTAAGCGGCATCAGTCGAAAACCCTGGCCTTGTCAGTCTGCTGATCAGGGCCTGAGCATGAGCGCAGATGGCGGGATATGCCCCCGATGTTAAGCCTCCCATGTTCTGCCTGCCCTCTGGCTCTTATCAAAATGTCCCATGTCCATCACCATTTGGATGTAATGACCCCACCCCTGATCTCCCAGAGATTTCTTTACCCCCTAGCCCTGGCCTGCTGGTTCCCTTACCTGAGAAGTCCTGCATCCCAAACATGCAACACAGATACTTACAGTCAACTTGGAATGTGTCCTTCAGCCTCGCTCTCAGCACAAATGGGACCCCTAATCACTAATTTCCCCTTCACCCAAGTGTGTCCCTCTTGACAGACTCTCTCACTGACGGGTGGGAGGGCACCCAACTCGCTACTTATCTTTTCCTGACTCTCACTCAGGAAAATAGTGTCTGTTTATGCAACCAGCTACTCCACACATATACCAGCAAGCACCTTTAGGCCTCCTCCATGTCTCTCACCAGTGAAAGGGAGATCCACCTCTACCATACTAGAGGATACTCACACACACGCACAGCTCTGCTTTCTGCATGGGGCATAAATCCACAGTCCAGGTTGAAATAAGTCTATCTACCAACTGGCTCCTGTGTTGTTCCTTGGGCCAGTTACTCAGTGGTCTGAGTGGTAGATAAGTCTATCTACCAACTGGCCCCACTGCCAGTTGCTTTTCTGATGAGCTGGTAGCTCAGCTAGCTCACAGACCAATTGCAGCACCATTAATCAACTAGAGATAATATTTTGCAGACATTCTCAGTATTAAAACATTTAAAAGACATGCTATTTGGGCGGGGAAAGTGGAGGTAGAAGAAATAAGGGGAAAAGAAGAGGAAACAAGAAACATCCAGTCTTTTTAAAAGTCTCCCCAAAGAAAAAACAAAATAAAATTCTTCATAGATGCCACACTGCAGATCAGGAGTATTTGGCACGCTGCAGCCCTGCAAGAAGTTTTTGAGCCAAAGCATAGCACAAAAACCTCAGATACCCCTGGAAACCCCAGCTACCCCAGCCTAGCCCAGCCCAGCAGCATGGTGCAAAGGCACACTGTCGCTCTGGGGCTGCAGTGCGAAGCCCTTTGCGTCATGAAGCCTAGCCCCACCCTGGCCCAGCAGTATGGCACAAAAGGGTTTCTCGGCACACCACAGCTCTGGAGCTGGAAGAAGTCGCTAGGCTGCAATGTAGCATGAAGCCCTTTGCCACAGCTCTGCTGAGGAGCATGGCACAAAGTCACAGATGCCTCAGGAAGCTGACTTTTGCCATCTTCTTGCTCCTGCTGCTGCTGAGGCATATCTAGCCTGACCCTTCATGAGGCAGCTGCTAGGCACGGGAGCCATTTTACCAAAGTCCAATGAAGAAACTGCTGTGTGTCCCCTGAAAAGAAAGCATTTATTCATTCATTCATTCATTCATTCATTCTTTCATTCAGGATAAGTGAATTAAATCTGACTTATTCTCCATTTACTAGATTCAGTGAGCTCAGAAGTGACGTATTTTAAAACAACGAAGGGCAAAATGCACGTTATAAACAGTAAGAGTGAAGGTTTGTAGGATATAACTGAAGGGTAAATATGACTTGAGTTTTGATAAAATGAAATCGTTTCCCTCCCACATTTCACAAAAGCAGAACACGCAGTTCTATATACTGAAATCGGAAACATCTGACCAGGGTTTTCCCGGTTGCAAAAGTACATTTACAATACAAGTCAAAATGTCATCCTGTGTATCAGGTTAAACAAATATCATTCATTTCTTCCATTCAGTTTAAATGTATACTGACTTTCCCTTAGTCCCTTAGTCTCCCTCCCTCCCTCCCTCCCTCCCTCTCTCTCTCTCTCACACACACACACACACCTCTCATGGCAAGCCTGGATAATTACTTAGGAAAGTAAACTTACTTCTGAGTAATCATGCCACTATTCATATTACATTTTCCATAATGATAATACCTATATAAGCACACATGGAATTATGTTCCATTATGATATATTATATGAGACTTCTTTCTAGGATAAGCAAACAGAGAAACTAGTACCAAAAACTAAATCTTAGGGAAATTAGTACAGAAGGTGCGTGATAATAGTCCTTTCAGCATCAGGAAAAATATACTTTTATTCTCTGAGGCTTTTCAGTGTAGCTTTATGTTGATTTTTTTATTTATATCCATGCCCACACAATATATGCACAATACTGTATATTTATCTATAAGTCTGTCTATCTATCCATCCATCTGCATACCCACACATAACACGAACAGAAGCTTGAAATGCTCCAGGTACTCATATTATTCAAAACATGTTTTCCTTTGATTTTAATGTATTATAACCTTCCCTAGGAAAATTGAGGATTTAAAAAGAAAACAAAGGAAACAATATATAAAATATAGATGCCCAGGCATATATAATTAAGGAGAATTTTAAAAGGAAAAGTTTTCTGGAAGTTAGGTTTGAATAAAAATATGTAAATAGAGAAGCATCAAAAATTTAAGATTTGAAGGGGAACCTACTTCCATTTAGCTAAAGCTACGTGGTGCCTGCTGTACTGGAGACTAGGTAAACAAGTGTAAGAACCAAGATTTTAAACCTGTGAGTAAAAAGCATGATTTTCTAAAATACCCAAACATATTGAAATTTCGTATCTAGCGTACATTTGCTTTGAAGATTAAATTGATTAGGAATGTCAAGCCGTCGTGTCTTGGCGCTGCACAAACCAGCCAGCAAGCAGGAACGTTAGACATATGGTAGTTTAATCACTCCATGTAGGTTAAAGTCAGCACTGGGAGGCGTTCGCTCCCAATGCCTTACATAGCATGTGTTCCGGCCCCACCCTTGTGGATACGCCCCGGCCCCACCCACCTCCCAAGCCACCATCCTAC